TTTGTAGGATAATCATTGAACTACTAACTACAAGGTAGACAGTTCAAGCCCACCAGTTGCTCTGTGGGAGAAAGATGAGGCTTTCTGCTCAAGCAAAGATTTACAGTATTGGAAACCTTATACAGAGTCGCGGTGAATTGGCACTGACTGGACAGCACTTAACAACAGTATGGTACTTTAGGATAAACAAAACCTCTAGATGCTTCTTGTAAACACTATATAGGGTTGCTGAGAATCAGAACCAACTGGATGGGACTTAACAACAACAACATAGGACAGGCATGTACCAGAGAATCAAAAATGGAAAAATGTAATACAGTGTTTGGTTCAACAATAATGCTCTTCAATAAATGACTAGTAAAATTATCATGCAGATATTATCCTATCAAACACTCTTATATGACATTAACTGACTTTCATGAAACAGTATTCATTTTTGATGGTAAGAACTTTAGAGAGAGTAATGAGGGAAATAATTTGTACCTTAATGGTTAAAGACAAACCTATAACAATTCTGTCTTATGTTCCCTGTAGACTTTTCAGAATGCTCTACCCTTATTCTTAGAAAAAGTGTATGTATGAATGCATATGTTATGGAAAATGTCCTTCCTTTTTGAAAACTATTTCTTTAATTTTTCATCTCTAATTTCTAATTTTTGTATCCTGATATATTCAACTCAGTAATTGGCTTGGGATGATGCTTTATATGAAAGTAATGAACTTCTCTGCTGTAATAAAGAATGTGTACTATATTTCAGTATGGCTTACAGTATGAAAATTGCATTATGTTTTTTTATGAATAATTAATGTCTTCTTTATTACTGTATTTGTCTATTTTCATTTGTTTTAGAAAGTATTATCCTTTTTGTTTGCTTTCAAGTTGACATCCAAAAGTACACATTCACTACTATAAATTTTACATTGATACGTTTATTTACCTTGACTATAATTTTGTTACATATCCAAATAATAAAATTTACTACTATCAATAGGGTGTGATCAGTGTTATTTTTACTATTAGTGTTGATTCAACTGTGTTGATCCTCATGCCCCTTTTTTACTGTAGGAACAACAGTAAGGAAATTGGCAAAGGTTGAGGCTGTTGCTCACACCTCTGCAAATAGCAAAGCAAATGGAAAGAAAGTCATCTAGGCTAAGCAATTTACCTGATTTTAGAAATCTGAAGGAATCTATTTTCAACTGGAAAATGAAAACAAATATTTGTTATTATATTCAGCATGACTATCATCACAATCAATATGCACATTTCCTTATGGGAATGGATGCTTTTTTCATGTCAAAGAAAACAAGTGTTGACATTTTCTGAAATATTTATCCTAGGAAAGACTTACTTCGTTGAGAGACTTATTTTATATTACAAACAATGGATGTCACTTTGCCACTTAGATGGCTTTTGTCCTCATTTTACATAAACCTAAATTATGTGTTCCATTTTGGGGAGGTAAAGTGAAATATATGGTTAACTGGGCATTCTCAGATATAGACTAACTTGTGGTACCATCTCTGATTCATGCACTCAGCAACAAACATTCATTAAATCTCACTATGCTAGAATCTGTATTAGGACCCACTGATGCTATTTGCACTTAATGTCAAAGACTCAAGACACAAGACTGTTTCTAAATGGCAGTATTCACCTCCTTCCTTAAAAAGAGAAGTCGTGAAATCATTCAGTGAAAACCATAAATGCAAGATGTTATTAGTACTTCTTATAAATTATCTTTACAAGGAATGTGGCAGTGCTGATTACACAAATGTTTTTTGGATTAATTATAAGAAGGATATTGTATTCTAATGTGAGTTTAATTCAAGAGTATTGAAACTCTTTGATTCATTACTCAAATTTTCATTTCAGGCCCTCCTGGACCTCCAGGTGGTTTGAGAATAGAAGACATCAGAGCTACTTCTGTGGCACTTACGTGGAGCCGTGGTTCGGACAATCATAGCCCGATTTCTAAATACACTATACAGACTAAGACTATTCTTTCAGATGACTGGAAAGATGCAAAGACAGGTGAGTTTGGTATTTCTGACTAATCTGTTCATGTTTTCAAACTAAATTATTTTCATGAAAACAGAAATACAAACCATAAGGATAATTTTAGTTTTGTCACCTACCATAAAGTGTGTTCTTCCTTATTCATGTTTAGTTCTTTGGTAGTGATCACAACATACAAACCCATGCACACAGAACTTATATTTTAAAACTATTGTGGAAAAAGCAGTATGTCTAAATCTACAATGGGAAATTGAAGAGAAACTTCCTGGTGTCTTTATTTACCTATTGTTATTCAAGTCACATGTATTAGGGAAAGAAAAATTGGGATGTCTTTTCTTTTGGCATATCACTTATTGTTTAGGACTCATTTTATCCAACTATATATGACTACACTTTAAAGGAGTCCTAGTGTGGTGCTATGGATTAAAGTGCCAGACTGCAAAACCGTTTGAACTTCAAGGTTGGCAGTTTAAACTCACCAGCTGCTCCTTGAAACCCTATACGGGGTCGCTATGGGTCAGAACCGACTCGACGACACTTCACAAAAACAACAACACTTTAAAAACCTAAACTGTTTATAAATATTAAATTGTGCATTTAAACATTCCAAGCATAACTCTTTAGTTAGATTTTCTCAAAACAGACTTGGCATTTTTTCGTCTCAATTTTTCTTAGGGTAAGGTTTTCCAAAAGGAAATGAAAAGTAATTAAAAGTGGATAATTTTCCTTGTTTATAACTATTTGTTGTTGTTGTTGTTGTTTTCAGTGCCATTGAGTAGGTTCCGACTCATAGTGACCCTATATAGGGTTTCCAAGGAGCAACTGGTGAGCTTGATCTTCAGGTTCAAACTGACCTTGTGGTTGAATGCTTATCCTACAGGACTCCTATAACTATTTACTACTGCCATTTTTCATGATTAATTTGCAATATCATATTTAAGTTCATTTCTCCTTTAATATTAATGAAGATAAAAGATCATTTTTATAATATAACCAATTTTTTTTCATTTTTGGCAGCAATTTTTAAAGAAATTCGGAATTGTCAGAGTTTTAAGATGCCTAAAAAAGAGACAGAGAACTATCTACTCAATGGTCACTAGAGTGAAAGGGAAAAATTGAATATTTCTCTTTTAAAAGGTTTCAAAAAATATCACACACACACACACACA